GCCCCGCGCCCAGTCGAGCGCCCTGCGCCCTCCGCGCTGAGGTCTTGGATCGGCGCTGCACCCCCGTGGCGGCGCTGGGGAGGGGGGCACCTCCGCTGCAAGGATTCCGCACGGACCGCCGGAAATCTAGGACTACGACGATGTTTGTTGCAGGGTCCATTCCGGTTCGGTCGAAGCGATTCGAGCTCGAGTTCACTGGACTCGTCTCGGCTTTCCCATCGATCCGATGTGGCCCGATGCTTGCATGGCGCAGTTGTGCATCCTGGCGCAACCGATCCGATGCCATTTCGACTCCATACCGATGCGGCCCGATCCGACGCAGTGATCCAATCCGATTTCCCGATTTGATGCTGATTGATGTGGAAGGGCCATGTGGTCGCCATGAAGGAAAGGGGGCTGGAGGGGAAGGGGTCCTGGCCCCGAGGGCCTTTGCCGGGGACCAGCTCTCAATCCCGAGTGGCTATCTGATGGCCCCGCGGGCCGTGGAGTGCCCGGGGGCCCGAACACGGCGATAGAATCCCAGGGCCCCCGCTCCTGCAGGAGATCGTTGTTCTATCTTTCGCGATAGCGGCCGTTACAGGCCCCAGGAGTTCCCCCCCCTGGTAACGTCACGACTCATGCTGACCTCCGAGGTGGCTTTTGTTATTTCGAGACGCTTCCAGACGGCGCCCGCGCGAAACGTGACGTGACCGGCCCCCCGCCCCCTGGTAACGCCAGTTGTCGCCCGGGAACCAAAAAACGCTCCCCAGGACCCGTCTCCTTCATGGCGAGCGTGGGCGCTCGGAGTTATCAACCCAATCCTCACCACATCTCGGCAACGCGCAGAGGGGGGTAGGGGGAAGGGGGGAAGGCTTCTTAGAAGCACCCTGCTCCTAGGAACCCTTCCCTCCTCCCCCTACTCCCTGGTGCGCGCCGCCGAGCAGTTGTTCCTCTTCCATCGAGGAGGCGCACACGGATGAAGGCGCGAGGAATAGCTCCAGGCCTCCTAGGTTGGGTCCGAGTCGATGGGGTCGGAGGATCGCGCCGCATCGCCGATGCATCGGCGATGCGGCTCGATGTGGCAAGAATTTAAGCTCAAAGCTAAGGATCGCCAACGCGCATCCATAGCATGACCGTTGCTCGCAGCAATCCGGCTGCCGTCGCCGCTTCGCGGGGTGCATGGTTCAGTGGTTGAGTGATCAGGAGAGGAAAAAACACACAGACACAATTAATCGTCGACTCCCAGGAAAATATCGGAAAATATGGGAATTGGGCGGGAAGACAGAAACCCAGAAAATGCAGGAAAATATGGGGAATCCTTTTATTTGTGTGTATTTATGTGTGTGTCCTGGGGCCCCTTCAAGTGAGTGGGTGGGTGGGTGAGTGAGTGAGTGGTGGTTGCTCGGATGAAGTTGTCATCCCTGCTCGGGCCTCGGCGGGGGCCCCTCGCAGCCACAGCTGGGCGCCGCTCGCAAAAAAGTGGCCAGGCAGACTTGCGCCGCAGAGCGACCCGTAGAGCGCCACCCTGGTGTGGTGCTGCACGTTTCGGCGCCCATGCACGTGCCTGAAGGAAGGGGGGCCGCCTTTCAGTGCCCCCTTCTCTTCAGTCATGGACCCAGGCGGGGTGCTCCAGAAAGGGCTTCGTCATCGGGGTGTGGAGAGGCTGGCGTTTTTTCCTCGGTGTGAAGCCCGCGGACGGCCCGTGGACGCAGAGGGGGTAAACATCGGCCCTCCAAGACATGCTGTCTTGTCCTCTTCTGTCTTCGGGTGTCTGGGGCCGGCCAGGTGGCTGTCGCAAATGCAGTTGCTGCGCGGCCTCTGGGGCTCCCTCAAGTCGGAGCGTCGTGGGAAGGCCCCACAGGAGACTGTTTTTGTTGAGGGTTCGGCGATAACCTGGGTTATCGGGCCGGTCTGCCCCCCCTCTCCTCCCCCTCCGGATAACATGATATTGCTGGTTGCTCGAGTCCGAAAGGGGCACGCAGCCTTGGTGCGCGTGGGCATGCGTGGGGCTGCCGAAAGCGAAAACGGTTCAGGCTATCGGCGGGCACCTCCCCCACACCCCTCCACCGGATAACATGGTCATCTCAGAAAATCAAAAGGCAGCCTCCAGGCGCCGTTGCCCCAGGCCCCAAGGGGCCCTCGCGCATCTCGGCCCTTGCTCGCCAGGCCACCCCGCGCGGAGACATACAACGATGGGGCCGAGAGCTCCTGGCCGTCCGTCCCCGGCCGGGCCGCGCAGGCGGCGGTGGCGTCGGGGGGCGACAGAGGCTCGGCGTGAAGTAGCCGGGCCTTGTCGAAAACGGGTCCTGGAGGTTTCTGGTCGTTTCGGATCTCCTGGGGCCCTCCGCGAGCCCAGGAATTGTCAGGAGACGACTCGGGACGAGGATTTGGTCGCGTGGGGATGCCCTGGGGCCCGGGATCCCTTCCCTCAGGATCCGCTCCCCTCCTGCCGAGATGCGGGCAGCGACGGCGGGGGAGTGGCGACGGAGGCGGCGACGGCGTCGGCGGCGGCTGCTTTTCTCCTCGCGAAGTCGTTGCGTAACATCCAACCCCGAGAGAAAAATAAATAAAAATAAAACTGTTTTGACGCCACCGGCGGTGGTCGGCATAAACAAGGGCTTCGCTGTTGCTGAGGACAGGCGCCTCCGGCCGTCTGTGGGATATGATGCAGTCCGTGCCAGATGTGTACAATATCCTATACACTCCTTATCGAATATGTGCAGGATCCTATGCTGTCCATGATGAGTACGTATAGTGTCATATACATGTCGTATTCGATATGTATGGGGTCCGATGCGCCCCGTATCGGTTTGTACAGGATCCGATCGCGTCCACATCGGCTCTGTATAGGACCCCATAGAGTCCGTATCTCTTTTGTGTGGAGTGTGTTCACAGCCCATGTCGGATGTGTATACGACCCTGTACAAGCCGTATAGGTTCTGTACAGGATCCTAATACAACGTTCTTTGGACATCATTGGCGCGCTCGTCTTGGACGCTCCTCGCAAAATCCCCCGCAACGGCCTTCTGGCCCTCGTCGCTGTTCCTCTTTCTGTTCTTTACCGCCCCCCCCGGTCGGCGGCGCGTGCGACGCTGAAAATAAACGGCATGGCGAAAGGCAGATTTTCTTACGTGGGCGACATCCCTTCGCAAGTTGCCATCTTAGACACTCCGTCGCAAAAACACAAGTGGCATTGCTGGCCATTCCTTAACAGTTTTCGATACAAGACTTGATAAGGAATGCTCAGCATGGCCACTTGTGTTTTTTCGTATCGGGGTCGATCATCTGGCAACCACGAAGTTCTGCGTTTTCTTGTCCCCCCTCTCCGCCCCCTCGGCACTTCTGGGCCCTTTGGGCGCACGGCCTGAAGCCGCCTGAGAGGGGCGGGGGGCTACGCGGTCTCTTGGTGGCATTTTAGACCAAGGCCAGGGCCTGGCTCTCTGGAGCCTTCTAGGATTACTTCAGAATTGTGGCTCGATTTCAGTATCGTTTGCCCGATCCTTATTCCCATCCCCATACCAATCCTGAGCCCCACCATCCCACCACCCCAGTTGGGGATGTACCCTTCGAAACCCAAAGGAGGCAACCGATATCCCCTATCTAGTGGAGTGCACCGGCCAAGTGGGACCCAGGCAGCGCCAGCCAGTGGGGATAGGGATCGGTTAAACGATGTTCACGATTGCGTGGAAGGCGCGCCTGAAGGGGCTTCCCGCACCGAAGCAGTGCAGGAAGGACGCGGCGGTGTGCGCACAGGGGTGGCGCGAGGGGGGGCGGCCTTCCAGGAGGCCCGAGGGGCGTCTGATAAGCCGTGGGCGGCCTGTCAGAAGCCGCCCTGGCAGGGCAAAAGCCTACAGTGGAGGACCATGCCAAGAAACACCCTGCTCGTCTCCAGGGCGCCCTGGGTTTCTTGGGTTTCGATGGTTTTGCGATGGAACGCGTGACGTGCCCACTAGAAATCGATGGACGTCCTGGGGTCTCAGGGCTTGGTTTCTTGTGGAAGGTTTCTCGTGGCCGGGCCCCCACTGTACTTGGAAGCGCGCGGGCCTCTCCGAGGAGGCGGCCCCCGCCCGTCCCTCGGGAGGCCGCCCCGCCTCGCGCCAGCCCCCTTTGTGCGCGGTGACGGCGGGGGTCTGTGGACCGCCCTGGCTCGAGGCCCCGAAGGGCTCTCGGGGAGGCCAGGCCGACGCAAAGAAATCATTGTCGCTCCTTTCGCGTGCGCAATGTCCGTACCCTTCTGGCTCAAGTCCGTAGCCATTGGCTCAATCCATCTGGCTCAAGCCGCTCTGGCTCGAGGTTGGTCGGCGCGACCTGGGTCCGCCGCCTCTGGGGCCGGCCGGATGGAACCGCCCTCGGCGCGGCGGCGGCGGCGGCGCCGGGCTGCTGCCGCTGCCGCCAGCGCCCCGGGCGCCGCGGCCGCCGCTGGCGCCGCCGACGCCCCCCGCGCCGCGGGGCGGCCGCCGCCGCCGCCCCTGGCGCGACCCTGGGCTCGGCCGCTGACGCCTGCCAGGCCGGCCCCGAGCAGCCGCGGCCGCCTGCGGCGCGGCCCTGGCGCCCGCGGAGGCCGCGGCGGTCGCCAGCCTCTGGCCGCCGTCGCCGCTGTGGCCCGGCGGCCCCTGCTGGCCGCGCGCGCGGCCGCGCCCCCCGCTGCCGCGGTCCGCCCCTCTGCGGCGGCCGCGGGCAGCTCCGCGTCGGCGGCCGCCGCCGCGCCGGGCGGCGCCTCGGCCGCTGCGGCCGCCCCCGCCGACGGCCTGCCCCACGCCCAGCCCCTCGTCCAGCCCCTCGCCAGCGGACACTGCGGGGCGCCGACCTTCGGGACAACCTGCTGGGTGTGCGGCGCGTGGTCCCCAGCAGAGTGTCGCTTCCACCCGCGGCCCGACACAGCGGGAGGCTGGGTGGCCGCGCCGAGCCGCGTGGACGCGGGCTGCAACACCGACGCTGCAGTGGGCGATGTGCAGGAGATCGTCGACAGCAGCAACAGCAGCAGCAGCAGCAGCAGCAGCAGCGAAATCTCTCCCGATGGA